TTAATTAAAAATTATGATAAAAAATTTAAAAATAAAAATGGATAAATTTGTTAATAAAATTTAAAATTTTCAATCTGCTAACGGTTTGGTACAAAAAGTTATTATAGTTAACTTTTTTAATCCGTTAGTGATTTGAATCTTAATTGCTATCCGCTAATCTCAAACTCCTAAATAAAAATTTTTACTAAACACCATATTTGTAGCAGTTTTAAAATATATAAGTTTACTAAAACACTTATACTTAGCGATTTAGACAAAATTACTAATCATTACCCTAAAACTGTTATACCAAACAGAACCTAATTTGAAGTTGAGTTGTATTAGAACCCATAAAAAAAAAACCCTCTCAATATATATTTTTTCATTCACAAATCTCAAATCTAAAATCTTATTTTAACAACATCAAACTCTTTCCATTCGATTCAACAAGTTATTAGTTAGGTTTCACGGCCTAATGATCAAATAAGATGTCTCTATTTGTGACAAAAAAATAAAAATTGTCACTCTGTTAGGTGCGGACTCTGAGCCCGGCCCAGTTTAAATAATGCCCTCTTTGATTTGGTTTTCAGTTTTCAGTAACCGTGTCTCCTGAAAGTTTCCGCGAATTTCCCACCTTACAAGAATACCTAACCATGACACCGATCATTGAAAGTGGAAGTGAAGAGATAAATGATTGAAAGTGGAGAGATGATCGCAGGTGGCATCAATTACCCGGATATGTAGTGCCTTGACTTTTGCAACTCATATATTCTTCCAGAACCATGGGTTTTTGCATGCGGAAGCTGGAAGCACCCATTATCACAATCACAGAATGTGAAGGATTTAGTGAGAAGTTCCAGGTTACAACCCTTTTGCGAAGTGAAGAATATCAAGGAACAAAAGAATACTGGTTGTATTTTTAATCAAGACAATTTTTGTACATTAGTTTGAATAATATATATATATGGATACAAATTTCAGATCCTGTAGTTTAGCCTAAACTCATGGAATATAACGTTACTTACCGTTGCCTTTCTTTCTCCTTGATCTGTGCTCTTAGCTTGATTACTGGACGGCTGCTTGATTTCTGTAACAATGATTTCAGCATTCATTGTTTCCTTGTTTGCTTTCTTGCCTGATTTTTGCACAGTTTCCTTGTTTGCTTTCGTGCCAGATTTCCGCAACGTTAATACTTGTGACTTTCCTTTCATACGAAGGACAATCAAGGAGGAGGCTATTGCTGTTAATGAAACTCAAGGTATTACCCTTGAAACTGTTAAGGTTGCTATTAATCAGAAAACTAATCCTGTTGAACAACTCGAGAAGCGAAAGCAATCGGGAAGCATCGGCTGCTGCAGTTAAGAATCTAACGAAAGCAAATGAACTAGCTCAACAGCTAGAAGCAAGAGAAGAGTCAAAACCAGGAATTGCAGAAAAGGGTTATATAGTTAACTTTAATGAAGATTTCTTCAATCGTCTAATTTATTTGACTGTTTCTGGTTGCCTTCATTTGGAGAGCTATGCATATTCCCTTGGACATGTCTACTCATTTGGACCCAGATTTCTAACTAACAAAAAGTTTTCTTCGAAGCATGTAGCAGGGATGTGGATTGTAGAGATTGAAATGGTTTTTTTGCAATTAGAGGTAAGACGTTAGGTTTCCAGTTTCCCTGGTATTTTGTGGTTTTCATGGTTAGATGACACAAATATCCAGCACCATTGTCATTTAGCAGTCACCCTAATTCCTAGGGTCCTTATTTCTCTGCATTGGAATTGTTCATTTTTTCTGAAGATCAGCCAGTTATGCCTATCCTTTGACTAACTTTGACCATTAAGGTGAAGGGGGTACACCGGGGAAAAGTCATATAGAACAATGGGGCTTTGCTTAGTCAAAACAATTTCTTTACTTCTTGTAGATGTAATTTGGCTATAAATCCACCTTTAGCATTTAAAGATAACCATAGAGAATCATCACTATGGAAGTATATTATAAAAAACCGCTCATGGAATTATCACTGGCCAGCATCTGAAGGTGTCTAGAGTCTTGTAATTGCACCAAACCCGAAGTCCTTCTTCAGTCCGCGCTTGCACTTCGGAATGACCTGCAAAGCCCCGAGGTGGAACTCGGGGTAGACACTCCGATGCTTAAGTCAGCAATAATCGGGGCTACCTTTAGGACGGAGATAAGAAAAGCTTAAG